CAGGAATTTTACAACATGCAACACCCGACTGTGTGGTCAGGGACACGGACCTGGATTCTCTGACACTGTCACATCAACAGTGACAACCACCGCCGTCCGGCGTGAACGAACCAAAATTATACTTTTTTTTGGACAGATGGGCGAAATATATGCTGTGTTTCTGGGCGTATAGCAGTTTCCACCTCCTGTGGGCCGCGAGATGGGAAAGGCTGAAACCGCTGCTATCGAGGGACTGGGATTTGCCGAAGACAGAGACATGTCCGACTTACCCCCACCAGGACCAAGAACTTACTTGCACTGGGCATGAAAATACTTGATCAGATTCTGAAGTAAATCCACTCCCTTCTTGATCTTGATTTCATTGACCTTCAGCAGGTACTGTGGAAACAACACAACACCAAGGGGTGTCAGAGGTAGAGGCGGCCGCGTGCTCAGCATGAGCCGGGGACAGAGGACACGTCCGTGCTCCTCCGCGAGGTGGGAGCTCATGGCAGAGGCGGCCCAGTCCCCGAGGCCGCACTCAGCGTCCCTTTCCCTTTGCTGCCACAGGGACGCCCTGACTCACAGGTGACTCAGCGTCTCACTTAGTGCCGAGGTCTCCAAGTCATCAGCCCGTATCTCACCCACGAGGAGGAGAAATGGCTGCTCTGGCTACAGGAAGGACGAGGCGGGGAGAGACTGAACCGAAGGGGGTCCCACAGGGCAGCGGGGTTCTGAGGCCGCAGGTGGGGGCCGCCCTCACCTCGCACATCTGCAGCTGGAAGAACCGCCGCTCCTTCTCCATCTCCTCGGCGATCTCGGCGCCGCTGATCTCCGTGCGGATCATCCCGTGCAGCTTGGCGTGCTCCTTCTTCTCCTTCTCAATCTTGGTGCTGCGGGCGGGAGAGCGGGGAGGAGTCGGACGCTCTCGGCCGCGGCCCAGGCTGGACGGCCGGGCAGGGACAGCGCACGCTCACGGGGCCGCCCCTAACTTACTGCAAAGGAAATGCCTGTGGCCACAGACACGCCAACCTTGGCCTTTTGGGTATTACTCCATAAATCCTCCCTAAGCACTTCTCTCTCTCTCAGAGGAGGAAGAGAGGGCAGCCAGGTGAGGCTGATGGGGGAGGGGGGTCCCCACAACCTCTCTTCTCTCCTTTTCTAAAACCAAGGGGCCTGGTGAGGCAGAGAAATGTGACCTGCGCTAAGGGGATCCACAAATCCCCAGGAAGACGGGGTACGAAAAATGTGCTGCCGTGACCAACAGTGATAACACGGGGGGCGGGGGGGCACCTCGGGGAAGGTGGCCTCGACTTCCTTCGATGAGCCTCCCTGGAAATGACGCTCTGTAACCCTTTGACATGAAACAAAAGGGGCCGGGAAGAAACTTGCGTAAAGAGGCCAACATCCGGGCATTTGGACAGCAGGCGTGAAGGCACCGAGCGACACGGTTTTAGGTGAGCGCTGTCCTGGGTCAGGGTTAGTCAGACAACGCCTTTAAGCTAGAAAAGCTGGGTTTAAAGTCGAAATCGCAAATTACCCACATTGTGGTGTGTTTTTAAGAGGAAACACTCACATTTTGGTTTCATAGTCCTTCCAGGCTTTATCAAAAGGCTTTTTCAGGTCCTATAAACGGAGAGGCAGAAATTAAACAGGCTGCTTGGGGCCCACGGCAGAGAACTACCCCCCCGCCCCCAACGCTTCTGCCTGGAGCTGCGGCCGCACTCGGCAGGTCTGACTCGGAGGTACCGAGCTCCAGAGACTCCACCAGGCCCCACCCCCCATCACGTTCTGTCCAGCAGGTCCTTTCGGGAGAGGAGCGCTTGCCAGGGTGGGGCTTGTTTTCTACGTCCTGGCTCTTCACTGGCTTCCGACAGGACTTCCCCGTCTCTCTGCGTCCCCCCTCTGCCTCGGCACCTTCCTGCCCGTCCTGCCGGCCTCTTGGCCCCGAGCTCCGGCCCCAAGAGGACAATGGGCAGCTCCGGGTGCCCGACCGGCTGGGCGGCCCCTCCTCCCTGCCCATGGCTCTCCTGGCACAGCCTGCGGGTCCCGAGACCAGCAGCTGGGCTTCCCGATGTGCCCCGTGGTCTCTCTGCGTCCCCCCTCTGCCTCGGCACCTTCCTGCCCGTCCTGCCGGCCTCTTGGCCCCGAGCTCCGGCCCCAAGAGGACAATGGGCAGCTCCGGGTGCCCGACCGGCTGGGCGGCCCCTCCTCCCTGCCCATGGCTCTCCTGGCACAGCCTGCGGGTCCCGAGACCAGCAGCTGGGCTTCCCGATGTGCCCCGTGCAGATCCTGGGAGCACGCGGCCTCCCAGGACTCAGACACATGTTCGTGCAAAAGCGACCGAGTGCTCAGCAGCCCCCAGGCCCACGGCTGTGGCCCTGCAAACGCCCCCCCGGAGCCGTCGCTGTACCCCCTTCACGCCTTTCAGGTCCCCCTTCAGCAAGCTGTCCAGAGGGAAGGAGATGATGTTGTTCATGTTCTGAATCTGAAAGACAAGACCAGAGAGGGTGCTCTCAGTCCCCAGCGGCACAGCGAGGGCGAGGCCGGGTGACAGCACTTTCACCGCAGCCCGAGCAGCGAGGACCTCGTCCGCTCTCCCAGGTGACGGGTGCCCCAAGGCGGTCTCCATCCGTCTCCGCAGCAGTAACTTTCTGCTATTAAGCGATCGCGTTGGTGAAAGATAACCGTTGCCAGGAAGGAAAACCTTGCCAACCGGCAGCGTGAGAGCCACCGACAGGCACGGGGGAAGGATGCACGCTGCGCTTGCCCCCGGCTCCGACCCCCGAGGCCTGGCTGTCCCGGGCTCAGTTCTCATCCCCGAGTCCCAGTTCCCAGCACAGCCCCTAATGGGGGGCCCAACGGGAAAAACAGAACGAGGGCTCTGCCTCCTGTGAGGCGGGAAGAGCCCCCCGCCTGGCAGATTCGTGTGAAGGGAGGGACACAGCCTCGTTGGGAGGGCCTTCCGGCACAGACTCGGGGTTCGGAGCCTGCAGGGGCCCCGCCCAGAGGGGAACGTAAGCCGGGGTCCACTTTCTCCCGCCCCCGGCTCACCACCCTGTCAGTCAACTCAGCTGCCAGTGGACAACCCCGGCGCTGGGGGTGGGGCCAAGGGCGGGGGGGCACGTGTCACCAGGGTTCCCGCACCCAGTTACAGACTGTGAAAGGGGAAGACAAGACTGAGAACTGTGGAACCTCCCACATTCATTCCTACAATTGAGCGGAGAAATGTTTATTTTTCGTACAATTACCTGGAACAGGAATGGGAATATAAAACACAGGCATGGTTTTTAGGGCAACATGGGATCTGATTTCTATACACTGTTCAGTGCATTAAAAGCCAAAAGGAGAGAGAAATCTATTGGAAAGCTACTGGCAACGGGTGTACGGACGCCTGGGCTACCCACCAATCCTGCCAGGTAAGGACCCACCCGGTCATGACTCCCAGAAACGCCGGTGCTGGGTACCGAGTGTCCTGCTCCGACATCAGCATCTGTCACCCCCCGGCCCTGCTCCCGGGGCAGCGTCACCAGCCCTGACCCACGGGATCAGCCTGGGAGCGAAATGTTTCAACACGAAAACCTGAGTGTGAGGCGCGGGCTGGTGGGCGCCTGGAAGGGACGCGGACCAGGAGGAGGCCGCGCCGGGAACTGCCTGACAAGCACACACAGTTTCCACGGTGAATGGCAGGCCCGGGGAGCGAGGAGCTCAGCTCAGCGTTGGTATCCAGAGTGCAGCACTGCCCCGGAGAAGAGGGAAAAGCTACGGGTGCCCGAACACGCCCGCAGCTTGCTTTCACCCAGATCCTGGGCACAGGGCCACCGCCCGCGGGGACACGCTATTAAAGGGCCATCACCCCTGTGACGAATGGTGCGTGGGAGGCAGGCGGCCCTGGCCCTAGCGGGAGATGAAGCTGCAGACCCATGGGGGGCGGAGGGGGGGTTAGGAGACAAAGATGGATTAGACAGACCCCCGGCTTCCGGGACCCTTGGCTCACCGGGGGAGGTAAAGCACGTAGCGCAGCAAGCACACCGCCCCGCACACTCCCAGAGCCGTAAATAAGACCCCGCGGACTTTCCGAGAAGAGAAATGACTTGTAGTCTAGACACCAGGGAAATCTCTGCTGATCGGGGTGACGTGAGAAGACTGAAGAGAGAGGGAGAGTTCTGTCTCGCACGATGGGTGGAGGGTGTCCAGGCAAGAAGAGGAACAGTGTGGCCCGGCCAGCGTGGCTCAGTGGTTGAGCGTCCACCCAGGAACCTAGAGGCGGCCGGTTTGACTCCCAATCAGGGCACAGGCCCGGCTTGCGGGCTCGATCCCCGGTGGCCGATCGATGATGTTTCTCTCTCATCGATGTTTCTACCTCTCCACCCCTCCTTCCCCCCTCCCCCTAAAAATCAATAAAAACATATTTGAAGAAGAAGAGAACAGTGCGGAGAAGCGTGGAAAGGCACAGGCCTGGGGACACGGGGCCACTGAGCAAGGGGAAAGCTGGCCTCCAATCCAGTCCACTCTTCTTTCTGGAGCCATTCAAGGACCTAAAACAGGAAACTGCTACTTCTCTAATCAGGAAGTAATTAGCTAAGTTGTTACAAGAGAGACAAAAAGTAGATTAGCAGTTACGTCGGGCTGGGGGGGTGGGCGGGGGAGCAAGAAATAGGGTTAACCGTAAAGGACACGAGGGACCTTCCTGGGGGGCAGGAGCGGTCCCCAACTAATTTAGGATGACGGCCGCCCCACCGGGGACAGGCGGGAGACATCACTGGCTGGTGCTCTTGAAGTGGGTAAATGTTATGACGTGCAAAATACCCCTCGATAAAGCTGGGTTTTTAGAAGAAACTGCTGCAGCCCTGGCCAGTGTGGCTAAGTTGGTGGTTGAGCTTCGACCCCACGCACCAAAGGTCACCGATTCAATGCCCAGTCAGCGGGGCTGGGAGTTCAATCCCCCAGGTGGGGTGTGTGCAGACGGCAACTGATGGATGTTTGTCTCTCTCCCTCTTCCATCCTCTTTAAGATCAATAAAGATAACATTTTAAAAAGAAGAGCAGAGGGAATCTGCTTTAAAAATAAATTATAACCAAATAAACAGATGCCCCGTCAACAGATTGGACATCAGCCCGTCTGCCCCCTGCACCCCACACTCGGGCACACACACGTGCTGAGTCAGGGCGAGGCCCGGAGCGGCTGCTGCAGGCCGGGCTGGCGAACGGGAGCCCAGGATGTCCTGT